TTCACACCCCGATGCACAGCATCAAGAGCAATTTGGGGTTCAGTATCTTGCTCAAAGATACTTCGACACGTGGCCAACCAACAACCTTCCGATTAGGGGACGACCCGCTATGCCTCTGCGCCACAGCCGCATTTAATAGTTCCCTGTGTGTTTTTGTGTAGTTATACTTTTAATCTGAGTCACATAATACATTTTAATCGACGAGTTTTACAAGCCTCACAAGTCTCTAAACGGTTTGCTCAATAGACACTGAAGACTTTCTCTGAATAATCCAAAGTCTTTAGAGCAGTGACATGAGGAAGTACAGTTGAACCCTTTGACGGTTCTGTGAAGTGAAGCCGACGAGTGTCTTAAAACTGCATTCTTTCAAGATTCTTTTACAGCTTTGCTTATTTCTCTCCTTAAATCTTTTTCAATTCAGTTTTATTTGTATAGCACCAAATCATAACAGAAATTATCTTAGGACCCTTTTCAAATAGAGCAGGTCTAGACTGTACCCAACAGTTCCCACCATGAACAAACATTTGGCAGTGGCACACAGTGGCAAGGAAAAACTTCCTTTTAAGAGGCAGAAACCTTGAGCAGACCCGATGGGGTTTGACAATTATATTTTATTGTACTGTTTATGTATAATATGAGAAAATGTGTGACCAGGTTCCTGCTAAGGACGATTCAATTTTAAAGAAGTGATTCGCTATAAAGCCAGTGCCACAAATGGGACACTTGAATGTTTAGGTGTCTTTGCCTTGCTGATGATATCCTCTGACCATTAGTGAGGTGTGAAGTCTTCATCCAAGGACTGAGTTCTCTGAGGGACAACATTCAATAACTGATTCTTAATATTGCTTGTTTTAGATACAAATGTAATGCAAGAATAAAACCTGGATGTGTCTTTTTATAATTTATTATTATTATTTATATTTTTTTTACAATAAGACTGCTGAGTGTTTTGGTTCCATTTTCTGTACCTTGCATCATCCCTACATTTTTCCCAGGGTGGCTGGGCTCAGCATTAGAGACAGGGTGAGCCGTTCAGACATCTGGAGGGAGTAGAGCATCTGATTACCATGTACCTAGGGCACCTTCCTGTGGAAGGGTACATCCAACTGGGAGGAGACCCTGGGGTAGACCCAGAACTCGCTGGAGGGATTATATATCTCATCTAGCACCGGAATGCCTCAGGTTCCCCCAGGAGGAACTGTAACACGTTGCTGGGGAGAGCAACATCTGGAATACCCTGCTTAACCTGATAATGGATGGGTGGATAGACTTCTCTTGCATTTACCTTTTACCTTTTATACTGACTGAGTGATCAGGGCCTGTCCTGTACGTAGCAGTATGTTGTGTTCACTTCGGTTCATACATTGTGATGTGTAGTCTTCTCAGTGCTGCGATGAGGACTTTTGGCGGGCTTAGCAGATGTTGGATTCTCTACTTTCAACATTTTACCCTCCCCTGACTTCTTTTCTCTATGAACCTACCTAGAAAATGAGACTGTCAACACCAATGTGACTTCTTTGGAGAGTGGTGTCTGGCGGAGTTGTGTGGAGCAGGAAGAGATACTGAATCTTGGCTTCACCATTGGCTCGTTCCTCTTGAGCGCAGCCACTTTGCCCCTGGGGATCTTGATGGATAAATACGGGCCACGCCCACTAAGGCTCATTGGCAGGTATGACAGTCCACTTATTTATTTTTTAAAAACATATTAAAGGTCCAGTCTGTATGTGTATATTCACAGGAATGTTTTCATTAGTGTTGAACCAGTAGCCCTACAGTATCCCAGAACAAACAAACCAAGCACTGGCTCTAGATGGGGTCTTTTGCATTTGTTGTAAACCGTAGTTTTTCCTTCACCAGGGTAGACAACCTACTAAAATGGCTCAAATGTCATAAGTCACAACCAGACCTGGCACCTATTTTCACCTTTTCCTCTATATTTTGCCATACCTCGAAGGCAATGGCTACTAATCTTTAATCTCCCAAGCTAGGCTAGCTATGGCTTCCAAATCCAAAAAAGGAGAAGTCTCAGAGGAAAATATAAAGAGAGAAATTAACATTGTATGGCTCAAATATGTTTTGCGGCTCCAGACAAACTTTTATTTATTTTTCTGGCCAAAAAACACTCTTTTTGTTAGTAAAGGTTGCTGATCCCTGTCTTGCACACTTGATTGATGTTGATTTGAGGGGTTTGAGCTGGTTGCAATGTGCAATCTCACCAGTAGATATCACTAAATCCCTACACACCAGTCCTAAAAAAAAAAATGGCATTGAAACCACACTCAATATCTGACATCCTGTGTCTGTATATATTTCAGTTTGTGTTTTGCGGCTTCCTGTGCAATCATAGCTGCCGCTGCATATGACCCTGAAGGTAAGGCAACTAATGTGTCCAACTTTGAATCATCATACACTTGCTTCAGTTCAATCCCGCTACTGCAACAGGAAAATTTTCACACAGAGATACACTACTTAACAGAAATTTTAATCAAATACCAGTCTTATTTTTGTAGTTTTTAAATCATTCCTGTCAGTTATGGTAACATTTTACACACCAACTTCACTGCAACATCTCTACAACAAATTCCAACTTAAATTCCTTCCAATTTAAGTAACATGAAAGTAAAGCCAAATGTTACAATTAAAATCCAAACTAGAAAATTACATGTTACCACCACCTACCATATTTACCATAGTTGTGTGCAAAATACACATTTTGTATGCAATCAGAGATATTACTGACATGTTAGGTGCACTTACTGTAGGTTGGGAATGATTGACAAAATGTACAAAAAAAAGACCAACATTGTAAAAAGTAAAAGTTTCTTTATAGCTCATGGTATTCTTCATTTCCATGTGTTCCATCAGTGCTGTCTGTCCTCATCTTCCTTGCTGTTTCTTTCAACGGCTTTGGAGGAATCTGCCTGACCTTCACCTCACTCACAGTACGATTCCCACTCACACAAAGGCACACACACACACTCCAATTGTGAACTGCATTAGAAGTGTCAAAGCTGAGGAAGGTTACTTTGAAAAACAGTTCCACTAACTGAAAAATGTCTTATTACAAAGCCACTGTTTGTCGCAGTGGCAACAGGCTAGGTAAAGTAGCTCTGATGTCCCTCTTTGTAGCTACAGTACTCCCTCCAGCACCTCTTAAGGCTTCTGCACACCAACCCGAC